CATTTGGCCATGAATAACTTAAAACGCAGAACTCCGCGCAAATTTTCAGCTTACTGCCTTATTTGACTGGATTATTATTCAGGTGAACGGATTGTCGGCAGTCAAAATATCCACTAATTGAGATGTCCGTCATTATGCGGAGCGTGGATCGGTGGTTCTCTGAGAATGATGCAATTACTGTTGCGGACCACCGTGCGAGCCATCAGAAGGGCTGGACAACGGATAAATAACGCTACCGACAATAAATACACGTTTCATTATAGTGTATGTAGATTGCTCACTTACAGGGCCGCCTCGTATGCCGTTTATGCAACCACACTGGAAAAATGAGGCACAACATTTTTAGAAAATGAGCTTTGGTACGCTTACAAAAAGATAAGTTATTGGAATTTTTAAGACACTATAAAAACGTTGTAGAATTAACCATTTTCCAACAGGGTGTCCGCAAAGTTGAGGTTTTCCTTTACACGACGTGTAGATCTTGAAAACATAAGCAATTTTTCTCAGAACCATATACACCAATGTCTTAAGGGAACCGAGATAAAGGGCTCTGCAACATCAAAAATATCTGAATACCGTCCTGTAGCCGCGACATCACGGAGTGGTACAATGTCACTGGCTCAACCCGACGACAGAACTGGGTCGGGGTCAGTGTGTCAGGTCAGTATGCAACCTTCAACCGACGGTTACGGTCACGCGTGTAGAGGTAATCGCGTAGACGAGAATCCCTCAACAAGCACTAGAGACGTGGCTAGAGAAGTGCAAGTATCAAAAACTAAAGTGTGACAAACGCTGCGTGAAGAGGGGCTGTATCCGTTTCACGTCCAACGTGTACAAGCCCTTCAACCTGACGATTTTCCAGCAAGAGTGCGGTTTTGTGAGTGGTTGTTGCATCAACATGACAATAATCCGGACTTTTTGAAGTGCATATTGGTGACAGACGAATCTACGTTCACGCGTAATGGGGTGAATAACTTTCGCAACACTCATGTTTGGTCAGTAGAAAATCCGCACGCTGTCCGTCGGGCACATGTTCAACAAACATTTTCGGTGAATGTTTGGGCTGGCATGGTGCGTCTGCTCGGTAGCGCATCAGCTATTTCATTTTCCGTTGGAGCGGTATGATTTCGGACAGAGACGTACTTAGCCCTTCTCGTCAACTGGATAGTGAGTACTTTTTCCTTTATTTTTTTTTACTTGGTCGCCCTCGTTTCACTACACATCACCTTTGTTATTTCAAGGACAGTTGTTTCTGAAAAGCAAAACCCTGGAGTAGCAAAGTCAAAATTGGGGATAGCGACATCAGAATGCACAAACACTAATCAAAAAAAAAAAAATAAGGGAGCAAGAAGAAAATCAATTTTTTTTCGTGATGTTCAACATGTTGCAAAAGCAAAATTTTTGTACCAAAACATCCTTGAAAATGGAAAAATAATTGGCTAGCTGTAACACATTCTATTTTGAAAATAGGAATTGGAAAAATTTTAATCTTTTATTCATGGAATATTCCAAAAAACAAAAATACTAACCAGTGGCTGATTTTGAAAATATTCAGTGTTCTTTCCGACCGAAATGAGTGAGATCAGCAACCGAATTTGCATCATATTTTATTGCAAGCAAATCTTATGGGCGATTTGTTCTAGTTTTCGAAAATGCCCTTACATTATCTATCTGTGCCATCACACAATGTTACCGATTTCTTTCAAAGTCAGATATCTCCGCATCGAATGATCGTATCGAGATTTTAAAAACGGGATATTGAAGCTGAATAATCGAGCTATCTGATCATATGATTCAAGCCCTTGGACTAAAAAAGAAGAAGACAAGAATTTCACAAAAAATTTCTGTGCGGTGTTAGATCTGCTTGAAAACCGTTGCTCCTAAAACGCTTCGGCTAAAAACCTAAAAACTAGAACGCCTTTTCAATTATCCACCGAAATACAGCCTATCACAAATCACCGATAAATTTGGATTTGTTCTATTTGTAAACGCTGCTTGAAATTGTCACTGTTCAACCCGAAAACACGGGTTTGTTTACCTCTTCTACAATTTGCAATATTTGAGGCTGCCTTCATCTGTGTTCAACAAACAAACATATGCAGTTCCGATGGAAAGAAACATCGAGGACGACAGCGACCTTCTGAGTACACTCGCGGAGTATCAATTTTCACCGAAATACAGCCTGTTAAAAATCACCGATACATTTGGATTTGTTTTATTTGTAAACGTTGCTTGAAATTGTCACTGTTCAAGCCGAAAACACGGGTTTGTTTACCTCTTCTACAATTTGCAATATTTGAGGCTGCCTTCATCTGTGTTCAACAAACAAACATATGCAGTTCCGATGGAAAGAAACATCGAGGACGACAGCGACCTTCTGAGTACACTCGCGGAGTATCAATTTTCACCGAAATACAGCCTGTTAAAAATCACCGATAAATTTGGATTTGTTTTATTTGTAAACGTTGCTTGAAATTGTCACTGTTCAAGCCGAAAACACGGGTTTGTTTACCTCTTCTACAATTTGCAATATTTGAGGCTGCCTTCATCTGTGTTCAACAAACAAACATATGCAGTTCCGATGGAAAGAAACATCGAGGACGACAGCGACCTTCTGAGTACACTCGCGGAGTATCAATTTTCACCGAAATACAGCCTGTTAAAAATCACCGATAAATTTGGATTTGTTTTATTTGTAAACGTTGCTTGAAATTGTCACTGTTCAAGCCGAAAACACGGGTTTGTTTACCTCTTCTACAATTTGCAATATTTGAGGCTGCCTTCATCTGTGTTCAACAAACAAACATATGCGGTACCGATGGAAAGAAACATCGAGGACGACAGCGACCTTCTGAGTACACTCGCGGAGTATCAATTTTCACCGAAATACAGCCTGTTAAAAATCACCGATAAATTTGGATTTGTTTTATTTGTAAACGTTGCTTGAAATTGTCCCTGTTCAAGCCGAAAACACGGGTTTGTTTACCTCTTCTACAATTTGCAATATTTGAGGCTGCCTTCATCTGTGTTCAAAAAACAAACATATGCAGTACCGATGGAAAGAAACATCGAGGACGACAGCCACCTTCTGAGTACACTCGCGGAGTATCAATTTTCACCGAAATACAGCCTGTTAAAAATCACCGATAAATTTGGATTTGTTTTATTTGTAAACGTTGCTTGAAATTGTCACTGTTCAAGCCGAAAACACGGGTTTGTTTACCTCTTCTACAATTTGCAATATTTGAGGCTGCCTTCATCTGTGTTCAACAAACAAACATATGCAGTTCCGATGGAAAGAAACATCGAGGACGACAGCGACCTTCTGAGTACACTCGCGGAGTATCAATTTTCACCGAAATACAGCCTGTTAAAAATCACCGATAAATTTGGATTTGTTTTATTTGTAAACGTTGCTTGAAATTGTCACTGTTCAATCCGAAAACACGGGTTCGTTTACCTCTTCTACAATTTGCAATATTTGAGGCTGCCTTCATCTGTGTTCAGCAAACAAACATATGCAGTTCCGATGTGAACAAACATCGAGGACGACAGCGACCTTCCGAGTACACTCGCGAAGTATCAATAGAATCTTGAAGATGCTCATATCAAATCGATAACTACGTTTTCGCTCTAAGAATGTGCCAATTTTGGTTTATCAAATGCGGTTTGTCTATAAAGTAAACTCGGACATTATGCGACGTGACAACATCATACGTTTACATAGATACAGGGTGGCGCATCGAAAACGAAACAGACGCATTTACTGGCAGCTCAGTTTTTTTTTTGGAAAAACGCTCAGACCCGTCGATTTTGTTTTCGAGCGGGACACAAGGTTGGCAAAAAATCACGTTAACACGTGGGCGGGGGTGACACCAACCCTAAAATCTTAAATGGAAAGGGGGGTCGAGTGATACCTTATTTTAATGGTCTTTCAATTCCCTTTATAATGATGTAAAATACAGTAGCTTGAGTTCAGTAGTTTTGAAGATTTATTGATTTAAAGCTTAAAGTAGACTTTAATAAGTACATCGGATTAGTTTGTACTAGTTTCAGAAGAAATTTGACTAAAAGAATTTACTTAATAAGTAAAGTCATGCTTATTATTTCCTGAAATATACGCTCAGTAAGAGGCAGACCCATATCCCATTTAGAGTGAACTTTGTAGCTGTTTACACGTTGCAGTATTTCTCCCTGTAAAAAATCCTGTACACTCTCGGCTTAAATAGACTCATAATAAACGTAAGCGATTTGCCAAAGTCATGATGTATGGCTGTTGTTGTTTCTTTATCCTTTTATATCTCCCTTTTTCATTCTTTGCGTTCCTGCGTTCCGACGTATATTTATTCGCCTTAAAGCACAATAGAAATTCTAGACGACATTCTAAGTCCACACAAAAAATGCCGTTCAAGAAAAAAGAGTGATGTTGAGAGATCGCGTATGTCAGATAAAATTGAAGCTCTAGAAATATATCTCGGAATCAATGGGAAAGTTCACATTTCAAATTTGAATTACGCGGCGACCGTATACGCGAGGAAGCGGGGAGAGGTGTTGATCGACGCGTTCGGCGTTCGGGTTAAATAGTCACAATCAGCGGGGAGCGAATGGGAAACAAAGCAGTGTTGCGGGTGCACAATATGACAACCATGTCGCACCCTCAGAAAATGGCGGCTTATCCACAAATGACGTTGTCTGATTGGTCAGATTTAAATTTCCGGCGGGTTTTTTCCTGTGGGTGTGCTTTGCAAAAATAACCTTACCTTTTCCGCAAGCCATTTTCGTAGTGGGTAAGATAAACATTTCATTTTGGTTGAATAAAGCCCCTATTATGTTATTTGAGACGTATGCCTTTCGTGAAGTATAAAAATGTAAGTACTCAAAGCTGTAATATATTTGTAAATACTATAAAACGTATGAGATTTATATAATAAATATATGTTTAGGTATTTGCAATATATGTATTTTCTTCTGAACCTTTCCAGATTAGTCAGTAGATATGAGTGATCTTATAACAGCTTGTGTTATTGACATTGATATTTTAATATACAAAAAAGCACTTATTCGTCAAGATGTTAATAACACTTGCTGTTTTAAGATCTCCCATATCCCACTAAATTTCTATATATAAAAGTATAGCAATCTCAGATTTATTTGTAGAGTTGGCAACGTTGCGGGTTATCAATGCACATTCTGGCAACCGTGTCGCGCCCTCAAAAAATCGCCGCTGACAACCGCACAAGTCACCGTGTTGCCATGGAATTAAACATTTAAACATTCTTCAGTGTATATGTTTTGTGGTCACAATGGAACCTTGGACCGAAGCGGTGGCGTAGAGGAAGACGCTACGGTCTCCTGATCAGTCGCCGTGCGTTGCGCGGTTTCGAATCCCATCCCTAGAGAAATGTTTCTCTGGGCTATGGACGTATTACGTTGCTAGAGTCCGTGTCGTGTCCCCCCCATTCCCCTGTATGGTAGCTGAAGTATAAAAAAATGACGATATATTACAAGACATTTTTAATGACCAAACGTTTGATTTCTGGTAAACCGGAATATCATATCTTCAGCCCATTTTGGTTGATCCTGAGGCACCATGTGCCCAGCGTTCCTGACGAGCACTTCAGTAAAGTTTCCGGATGTCTTGACGTATCCTGCTATCTCTGTTCCAACGTACCATATCTTCCTACGAGCCTTGCGGTATCCTCGGACGTCGTCAAACTCTATATTATCCAATAATTTCAAAATCAACGGATAAGCGACAATGATATCCAACTGTCCGTTGTACAACAACATCCTGTAGTTGTTCGCCACTTGAACCAACCAAGGCGTTATGGACTTTGCCATATCTTCGAACAGATAATAGGACACATCAAACGATCGCGAAGTTGTTTTGCCGACGTGCATCGCCTTTCTAACCTCTGAGTTGTTGAAGAGTTTGTCCATCAAAGTGAAGTCTTCACCTTTACATACTTGAAGGTAATTGTAGATGCATACGTAATCTGTTACGTTCAAAATATAATACAGCGTTTCTTGCCAGGTCAGTACGGCTTTTTCGTACCGTTTTTCGTTGATGTACCGAGCAGCTGAAACGTTAAAACAATGCATTACTTAAAGTGGTCTGGAGTATTATTTCAAATATCATTAACACCACTATCAAGCTCATTCCTTAATTTATTATGCAACTTTTATTATTATTTATTATTATTTTATATAGGTGATTTCTGGTATATCAACTTCTTCTTATGAGTTCTACAAGTTAAATAAATGACTCAACTTTGAAAATACCCTGCATAGATATATCTTTGCCAATAAAAGAATCAATGAAAAAGCAATCTCAAAAGAAAAACATGGTTAACGTTGGGAATCAAGAAATCTGCACAGATGCTGAAAAATCTTCATGGAGTTGTGGTTCAAACGCAAAGAACATCAGATTGAGATTTCTATAAGAGATACAAGAAACTTCGAAAAAAAGTCATTGACGCTGCAAAAAAACTTTGGTATGCAAGGGAGTTTGAGGCGTCACCTAACAAAGATAAAACTGTTCGGCAAATAATAAATAGAAGGGTAAATAGGAGTACAGCTAAGAAAGAAATAAAATCAGTTAGTGTTGACGATAAGCCTACTTTCGATAAATCTGAAACTGCAAACGGCTTTTTGGACTGGAACAGGTGTAATGGATATAGTGTAGCAAGGTGAAGCTTGTTACGGTGAAACTATTTATTTAAATTGTTCAAGTCGTTTTGCAAAGTATGACAGAGTCATTACTAGCGTCAATTTTTCAAAAGATTTCTAAGTCATCCCTAACGACGTAATCAATGACAATTTTCAAAAGTAAAGGACCGAGAGAAGACCATTGAGGTATGCCGAAAAAGGTATAATCAAAACTGTCAAGCATGTGTTTGTCAGTTAAGAAATTTGTCAAATAAGAATAAGAAGAGAATAGCTAGTTTATTTATCAAAATGATAGATTAGTTAAAGTAGATCTATCCTGGAAAAAGAACATGTTGACTACACCAATCCGATTTATAATTATACTAAGTAACATATAAATCCGAACACCCAGTTTAAATGGTTTTATTTTAATAACAGTTGGTGAATGTATTTATCTTACTGTAAATAACAAGTGAAAAAATTTTCAGCCTTATCTGTTGGACATTCCGGTTTTTATGCTGCTTTTTTTAATTCACTAACGCTCTAAAAATGAATATTTCAGCCGCAGTAAAGAATCAACGTTGGCGGATTTTGGTTCTTGACATCCTTTACGATCGGTTACGATGCCTAGAGTACGGAGACCTGTACGATTTCGTCAACTTAGTGAGTTTGATAGGGGCCGTATAGTGGGACTTCGGGAAGCTGGACTTTCTTTTCGGGCAATTGCAGTTAGGGTGCAAAGAAGTGTAGACACTGTGGTTAGGTGTTGTCAGGCATGGCTTCGAGAAGGCCGTACGCAAAGAGCAAGGGGCACTGGACGCCGCCGTAGAACAACAGACCGTGAAGATCGCCGCCTAAGATTATTGGCCTTAAGGGACCGTTTCTCCACTACCAGGTCCATTGCAACTGAATGGTTTGCAGAACACGGAAGACCTATTGGCATGCGAGGTGTTTACCGACGAATGAGAAGTTTTGGCTTGTTTTCATACCGGCCACACTGGGTCCTCCCTTTAACTCGAGAACACCGACGTAATCGCCTTGAGTGGTGCAGACAACGGTCACTCTGGGATCAGGAATGGAACAGTATTGTTTTTAGTGACGAGTCTCGATTTTGTTTAGGCATGCACGATGGTCGTGCCAGGGTTAGAAGGCGACGTGGTGAAAGGAGGAATCCACAGTTTTTTGTGGAAAGACATGTTCATCACACTGTTGGAGTTATGGTTTGGGGTGCTACAGCTTATGGTTCCAGGTCACCTTTAATCTTCATCAGAGGTAACATGAACGCGCAGCGTTATATCCACGAAGTTCTAGAACCCCATCTTTTACCCTGGCAGATCCAACTTTCCAACAAGATAATGCCCGACCACATGTTGCAAGAGTCACAATAGACTTCTTTCAACATAATGATGTCACATTGTTACCATGGCCACCAAGATCTCCCGACTTATCCCCAATTGAGCACGTGTGGGATATGATGGGTAGGAGATTGCTCAATTTGCAACGTCCTCCTCAGACTCTACAAGCACTTCGAGAGGAGTTGGTGGTTGCCTGGAATGAGATACCACAGGAGGACATTGAACACCTGATCAGAAGCATGCCTAGGCGCGTTGGAGAATGCGTAGCACATCAGGGTGCATCCACACGTTATTAAAGGTCAAAGGGCTTTAAAGCAGTGCAATCATTTTGAAATTTTTATCATTTACTTATTATGCTTCATTAAGTACTTATACACAATTTTATTAAAATAAAACCGTTTAAACTGGGTGTTGTGGACTTATATGTCACTTAGTATATATTGATGGACTATTTATTTGTATTCAATCGAACCTCTTAGTGGTTCAAGTACAATATTTCTACTTCCAAAGTTCCCAATCCAAAGTCTGATTTAGGATATGTTATTTGAGTCTTAACATAAGAAATCTTGTAATAACTTAAAAAGTGGCCTTATTGCCCCCCGGGGGTTAATAAGGCTCATTGTTATTATCTCTTGAATGTATGTAATAAAATGTTTTTTGATGATTTTATCTGCTGAAAAATGCCAAAAACTTTGAGTTTTGTTGATAATTTCATAAGAAAGAAATATTTTATTTTCAGGCCTTAAATTACTGTAGTAGTTTAATAAGACCCATGGCAAGAGTTTTTGAAAATCGTTATACAGTAATACCCCGACTTACGCTACCCCGTTTTACGCGAATTCGGAGATACGCGGTTTTTCATTTTGATTGCCGCGCGCAGCGCGCATCGGCTCTCTCGCTCCGCGCGCGCATCGGCTCTCTCGCTCCGCCCACTCAGTGTTCAATTTGCATCAGGTTTAAACGTGTTTCGCGTGCAATTGTTTTACGTGCGCAGTGCGTTTTACTTATAATCTCTAATTATGTCGTCTAAAAGAACAAAAAATGAGTCATTTGAGCCTAACAAGAAAAGAAAAACACTGTCTTTGGAGTGTAAACTGAATATAATTAAAGACTTTGAAGCAAAAATGAAAATTTGTGAATTGGCGAAGAAATTTGACCTTCCGGAATCAACAGTCCGAACGGTTGTAAAAGGTAAAGAAAAAATTATGAACGCTGTGAAAGACTCTCAATCTTTGAATTCAAGTATCATCCGTAAGCGTCACGGTATTATCGCACAGATGGAAACATTGCTACAGTCATGGTGTGATAATCAAGTAAGAGTGAAAAATTGTCCTGTTGATCAAAATACAGTGTGCTTTCAAGCAAAGCAGATTTTTGAAAAACTAAAAGAAGAAGCTGGGGAGGCGGCTGAAAATGAAGTGTTTAAAGCTAGTAACGGCTGGTTCAGCCGATTTAAGAGTCGTTGTAATTGGCATAGCATCGCAGAGAGTGGAGAAGCGGCAAGCGCTGATAAAGAAGCTGCATCTCTCTATCCAGAAAAACTCAAAACAATGATAGATGAAGGTGGCTACACTAGCCAAACTATTTTCAACGTAGATGAAACAGGTCTTTTTTGGAAGAAAATGCCTAAAAGAACTTTTATTGCGCGTGAAGAGAAAACTTTTCCAGGTTTTAAAGCCGCCAAGGATCGATTAACAGTGATGGTTGGTGCGAATGCAGCTGGAGATTGTAAATTAAAACCTCTCTTAGTTTATCGCTCAGAAAATCCAAGGGCCTTAAAAAATAAATCCAAAGCTGGTTTGCCTGTCATTTGGAAGTCTAATGCGAAAGCTTGGGTGACAGCTTCTCTTTTTGAAGACTGGTTTGGCCATCATTTTATTCCTGAAGTCGAACGTTACTGCCGATTAAAAGAAATCCCATTTAAAGTGATGCTACTAATTGACAATGCACCAGGTCATCCTCCCGCAACTCTAATTAATTTCGATCCACGTGTGGAAGTTGTATTTTTGCCACCAAACACTACCAGCTTGCTTCAACCAATGGACCAGGGAGTCATTAAAACATTTAAAGCTTACTACACAAGGCGGTCATTTGCACATCTACATGAAGCTATGAGACAAAACAATGAGCTTTCTGTTAAAGACTTTTGGAAGCAATTCAATGTTTTAGATGCTGTCAGAATTATTGGACAATCTTGGAATGAGGTTTCACAAAAAACTCTCAATGGTGTCTGGAAAAAACTGTGTCCATTTTTTTTCACCTCTGAAACTCAAGGAGAAACCATTTCAGATCCTGAACAAATCGATAGCATAATAGAAGAAGTGGTCGATATCGCCAAGCAATTAAATTTAGAGGTCGATAATGATGACGTTCAAGAATTGCTAGATTCACACAATCAAGAGCTAACAATTGACGAGGTTATAGAAATGCGTAAGTATGAGCAAGACATTGAACAAACTGATTCGCTAGACCCAGTTGAATCGGTAAATCAAATGACAATTGCAAACTTAACAGAAGGACTCAATTCAATTGAAAAGGGGTTACAAATTTTAGAAAAAATTGATTCTAATGAAGAACGCGTGTCTACTACAAAACGAGGGATAAAAAAATTACTGGTATGCTACGAGGAAATTTTACGTGAAAAGAAGAAAAATTTAACTCGTCAGGCAACATTGTTAGAATATATAAAGCCTTCGACATCAAAATAACTTCGGTTTAGCTTACTTTATTCATAACAATGTAATTTTTTTTATTATCCTACACTTTATTAAACATTTTTCTTCTAAATTATTGTTTTCTTTAAACTCTGGTCCCGATTAAACAAACTTTATATGTATTTATATGCAACATTGAACCCCGACTTACGCGAATTCGACTTACACGGCAACCGTTCGGACCCACCTATCGCGTAAGTCCGGGGTATTACTGTACTTATTTCCATGCTGATCTCTGTGTTACTATTTATCTTTTATTCTTACCTTAAATAAAAAAGCTTTCTACTGAACTACGCTTTTTCAATTTTTTTGATATAATTCCTGAGTTTTTTAGCTTTAAAGTTAGGTGGGCCTTATTCACCTCAGGCACCTTACTTAAACAGATGAGTTGATTTACTTTAGCAACTAACCTTTTTCCTCGTATCGCTTCACATACAGAGATGTATTGTTATCAAGTAGGCCTAGTTGATACAGGTACTCCGCGTAGCCCTTTTGGTGTAAAGGATCCATATATCCGTTTCCAATTGCCACTCCTTTCAAATTGATCTTCGCCTCAGCACCCGGATTGTTTCGATAGATCGTGTAAGCCAAAGTCGGTACATACTTCCCAGCGTACGATTCACCAGTGACGTAAAACTCATTCTTCCTCAATTCTGGAAACAGGACGAAGAATTGCTGCAGGGCCGTGTACAGTTCGTTGCCGATTTGAGTTTGGTTACGCGCGTAGCCATTTTTGTGATGCGTGAAGCTGAATCCCGCTCCTACGGGATTGTCAATGTAGATCACCGAGTGATTGTTCGTCCAGGCGTGCTTTCTCAACTCCAGCTCAGCGTTTTCGTTTAACTGGAATGGTCCATGTTCCATGAACAGTCCATACAACGAAGGACTGCCAGGTCCGCCTTGCAGCCATAGTAGCACCGGATCGTTTTCGTAGTCGCCACGAGACGGAAAAAACCAAAAGAACAGATTCGAATTATAGTGCTTGTTAACCGTGAAGTATCCAGAGTAACTTTTCACTTCCTCGGATAAAGCTACATCAGCAAGTCTTCGAGCTTCGTCAGTCTTGTTTTGTTCTAGCAGAGGCGTTAGAATGAGTGGTTCTCCAACATCGCCTCCAAGGTAGTTTTTTTCTTCGGGCTTATGCGGGTTGATCAGCGATGATACTATCGGTATATTGACAGAAAGGTACGCAGTCAAAGACAATATTAGTTTAAAATGCATTTCGAAGTCGCAGATACCGTTCGTGTTGATTTCTTTATTTATAGTAGAGCGCTTATCAGGTGTTAGATATGACTTTTATGGACAGTAGATAAATGTATATAAATACATACAAAAGGTAGGAAATGTAGGCAATACAAATTGTTTATTTAGAATGGTTTACACAGATCATCGTCAATTATCTCTTCATATTTCTTAACAATATTTAACATGTAAAGATGATTGAAAACTACACAATCTCATCAAGCACTAACCCATATCATAGGCGTTACTGTGGAAACAATACCAGCTAATTCATTTTGTATTGTAAGCACAAAATGTTTTATAATTTCCCCGTTTTCTTTTGTGTAATTGTCTGGGACATTTTTATCTTCAACTTCTAGCTTCTATGATTTTTACACGTTTTTTAAAATATGTTGTGAGCCACCAAAATTGCCTTCGCGATTGACGGGTTGACGACCACTGGCATAAATGCTTTACTCATGTTGTTTAATGCATTTGTGATGTCAAAATTTGAATACGCTAGAATTATGTGGAATCCCTGCTATGTGACGTAGGTTTTTCAAATATCTGGCCTACAGGATAGATGGTATTTATCCAGAAATAGGTATTACGCGAAATGCATTACTCGTTAATCTTTCTATACAAGGTTATTCACAACCAATATGATTGTCCATGTATTCTAAGTCGTCGAAGTCTGAGATGTCTCATCAGAAACATTTCAACATCTTATTTACCAACTCCCAGGACCAACATACTTCTGCATTCTTCCATATATTCTATGTGAACAATGTGATACAAATGTGACTTCTATTATGAGTCTAGTTTCTTGATATAACCAATCACTGATCAACAGCCAAAAAATATCCTGAATAAAATGAACAAAATATTACTATTTTTAATGTGCTAAAACCGGAATGAAACTTATTTTTTCAATATTAGTTCAAGTTTTAGAGATACGGTAATTATATGTGTTCCTGCTGTGACAGTGTTAATATACTGTAATTCACAAGAATGCACGTGCTACATTTTTATATTCGGCAAGGAAAGATGATGTAATCGGCATGATTGTGTTACGTTATACATACGTGTACATTATATTGTTTTATATTAGCCATTTTTTCCTCAGTTGGCTGACAGCGTTCATGCAAGATGTCTCGAAAGTGTGTAAACAATCCAGATCAGTTTTGTTACGAGTAAGGTGATGTGACTTTTGCGTCTCAGAGACGGTCTATTACTCCACTAATAACAGCTTTATTTCGGTTGTAAACTAGGTGATCAAGACAAACAGTGGGCACCCCACATCTGCTGTAATACATGTGCTTCTATGGGTCTATGCGCTTTGCTGTCCCAATGGTTAGGAGAGAGCCTACAAATCATATTAATGATTGTTACTTTTGCATGGTACCTTGTGTTGGACAAGCCACAGGTATGTCCAAGAAAAAAAAATCGGTTATTAACTACCCAAACATACCATCTGCGATGAGACCTGTGCCTCACAGTGACGAAAATCCTATTCCAAAACCCCCAGAATCCTACACTTGCAAATCAGAAAACGAATCAGATCATGGCCATCGAGTGATTCGTCAGGAAGAAGATATGCCATCAACGTCAAGAGATCCTCATTTTATACCGAGCACGTCATGCCACCAACCGCCCAAAATAACACAGTCAGAATTAAATGATCTTGTAAGAGATTTAGAACTTCCAAAATGTAAGGCAGAGTTACTTGGATCAAGACTGCAGCAGTGGAACTTGTTAGAAGACGATGTTTCGGTATGTGTTTTTCGTAAACGCCACAAAGACTTAGAACCATTTTTCAATATGGAGAATAACTTGGTTTTCTGCAGTAACATTAACGGCTTACTGGCGGCTTTAAATATAAACTATAACCCAGAAGAATGGAGATTGTTTATAGACAGTTCAACATTGAGTTTAAAGGCAGTGTTATTGCATATTGGAAATATTTTACCATCTCTTCCTGTAGGGTATGCAGTTCACATGAAAGAATCATATGACAATATGAAGTACCTATTGACATGCATAAAATACGATGAGCACCAATGGCATATTTGTGGCGATTTGAAAGTTGTTGCACTTTTACTTGGGCTGCAGCTAGGCTACACAAAGTTTTGCTGTTTTTTGTGTGAATGGGACAGTCGGGCAAAGGCACTTCATGACACCAGACAAAACTGGCCTGTTCGTCAATTCCTAGAGCCAGGTCAAAAAAATGTACAGCATATGCCATAAGTTGATTCGAAAAAAAAATTATTACCACCACTTCATATCAAGTTGGGCCTAATGAAAAACTTTGTCAAGGCATTAGATAGAGATGGGTCAGCTTTTCAATACCTGCGTCAGAAATTTCCAAGACTAAGTGAGGCAAAGGTTAAAGAAGGTATTTTTGTTGGGCCACAGTTTCGAAATATTTTGAAAGATACACAGTTTGAAAACACTTTAACAGGTATTGAAAAAACTGCTTGGAATGATTTCCGTCTGGTGGTCACTAATTTCTTGGGAAATAGAAAAGCTGACAACTATAAAACCCTTGTCAAAAATATGCTGTCATCGTATCAAAAGATGGGCTGTAATATGTCTCCTAAGATACATTTCCTACACTCACACCTGGACTTTTTTCTTGACAATTGCGGAGCCGTAAGTGATGAGCACGGCGAACGTTCTCATCAGGATATTTCAACAATGGAAAAAAGGTACCAGGGAAAGTGGAATCCTTCCATGCTTGCAGACTACTGTTGGACTCTTGGTAGAGATGCTCCAGAAACGTTCCATAAAAGAACAGCAAAAAGACAGCGCATATAGTGATTCTTATAAGTATATGGATCTTGTTACTTTTTTTAATATATCCTTAAAAATAAAAAGTTTTTTTTTTCTAAACCGCAACTAATTTTTTTATTTCATTGTCATTTTTGGATTCAGCGCCCCAAAATTAACAAAGAAGTGTACTTTTCCCACAAGATACAATTAAAAAACTAAAATTTGTTGTCCAGTGAATTGGTTGATGGTGTAAATAAATGAATAAACTTACGTTGATGTTGATGATCCTAGGCAAGGGATGCTTAGTGTTGGCACCTCCCTCGATAGCAATCCCCAATATGGGCTTCGTCTTCTTCACAGTCACCCTGAGGTTGCCCTCTTCATCGTGCACCACTCGTCCCGCCTCCCCCCTTTCTCCTGGACCCGTAGCCAATCGCTGCATCGACTGGTGCCGCCTCATCCCTCCTCCTGGGCCGCCACCGGGTCCGCCTCCACTGCCGTCAGCGCCACCCTCCAGCATTTGCTGCTCGTCCTTCATGTCAAAGCTGCGGGAGAGTTTGTGGGCCAGTTCCTGAGATCGGAAAAGACACGTTGATGTATGTGCTAGGGATTTTTGGTGATCTATGCGTTGCTCATAAAATACTATAACAGTTTTGTGGAAAAACGGTGCAATACCTCGTACAGTCATACGAACACAGTCGGAAGAACAAGAATAACAAAATCAAGCGTTGTCCAAAACGGACGCAGGAAAGTAAACGCATATTAAAACAAGAAAGATTGATATTCAAATCAAGTTGGGTACTTTATTTTGAAGGTTCATTTATGTATGAAAAATAATATCGCTCAAATGTTCACCACGACTGGATTTACAGACGTCCACGCGATGGTCGAAATTTTCAATGACATTTTGCAACATGGTCGGTTCTATGGCATTTATCTCGGCAATGATGTTGTTTTTGAGTTCTTGGAGGGTGGCTGGTTTGTTGAGGTAAACTTTGCTTTTCAAATATCCCCATAAAAAGAAGTCCAAGGGAGTCAAATCGCACGATCTTGGTGGCCATGGCACATTTCCTCTGCGCGAAATCACGCGATCACCGAAGAAGGACTGCAATCGATGGATGTTGACGTTGGTTGTGTGGCATGTTGCACCGTTTTGTTGGAAATAAACATCGTCCATATCCATTCCTTCAAGTTGCGGCAAAAAATAGTCCTCTATCATCACGTGATATCGCTCAGAATTGACGGTAATGGCGTCCCCGGCCGCATTTTCGAAAAAGTAAGGTCCGATGATGCCTTTTGACCACAATGCACACCACACAGTCACTTTTTGAGGATGCATCGGCTGCTCTTGATACTCACGGGGATTTTCGTTCGCCCAGATGCGGCAGTTTTGCTTGTTTACCGTCCCATTCAAAGTGAAATGCGCTTCGTCGCTGAACATGATTTTTGATGAAAAATTGGCACCAATTTGGCGGTGTTCAAGGATCCAATCTGAGAACGTTCGGCGCGAAAAATGGTCGGCCCGACGCAGCTCTTGCGTCAATTGGATCTTGTAGGCGTGTACATTCAAATCCTTGTGGAGAATGCGGAGCAAACTGGTTCTCGAAATGCCCAATTCTTGGGATCGACGCGTTGTTGATTGTTTCGGATCGTCTCTCACACTCTCCTTCACAACAGCAATTCGAGGCAACAGAGCCTGGCAGATTTGCCACAGAACCTGTTGCCTCGAATTTACGCACCAGACGACCGATGGTTGTTTCGTTTGGGCGGTTGTTGCGACCGAATGGTAAACATTCAACTAACAAAATCACATGTCGGTGGCAGAAAACGAAGATGGCGTCTATGTCAAATTGACGTTTACTTTCCTGCGTCCCTATTGGACAACCCTTATAATATGTCGGTCCTGCATACATAATTTCACAAAAATTATATGACCATAGTGTTAATAACATATTCTACTTAATACTATATTCCTGTGTTCTAAAGTTATCCGCGATGGGATGAGATGTCGAAATAAGTTAGCAAGAAGCGCCACCTAACACAATAATCTGAGAGAGGTAATGTAAAAAAATAATACATTCTTAACAGCCTGCTGCCACTGCTGTTAGGTACAAAAACCTATTTTTGTCTCTTTATAGGTTTGTATCAAGTCAGTCAAACTAGATCATTGATGCTACGCAACCTATCCGGTTATCCGCGTGTCATAGATGCCGTTGTATCCACATACAGGGTGACGCATCGAAAACGAAACAGACGCA